TCCAGTGACCCTCAGCTTAGAATCAAGGTGTACACACACACACGCACAGTAATCAGGTGGGCATGTTCCAGAGGAGGCAGGGTCAAAAAAAACAATTCAGAGGCTCGGACTTCACGCTGGTGCAAGACATGAACAGCTCCCTGTACACGTTCAATCCCAACTAAACCTTTCCCTTGGAAACACACAACAAACGCCTTAAACCCTTGGAAAAATCTCGCTGGTTGCTTGGAAAAATCTCGCTCTTCCATTGTGCTGGCTTTGATTTTTCTAAGAGGTTCAAGCATATTTTAACCAAAATGAAATTCTACACATAGCTCAACTGTCAACCCCTAACCTCCCTAATGTGGTCGTAACTGGGATAGAAGTACAAGTATAACTGTGCTGTAGTCAGCTTGAACCTTAACAGCTCGGTGTTCAAACTTTTGTAGAAGCAACAGCAACTCCGTGATCGCTCAGCCTCACAAGGAAAAGGGAACCCAGGGAACCTTCGCACAATATGTACAAAGCATACTGACTTGCAGATGGAAAAACACACCTCAATGATAGATGAGCTGTTTCTCAAAAAATGCTGTCCACGGGCTTTGCCAGTGGGAAGTAGCCGAAGGTCCAGCAGCTAGCGCGCTAGTTCCATGATCAATACAGGTGTGTCCAGATGAAGGGTTTCCCTATTAGGGGTATATTATTGGGGATCCCATCATAAGGACTGATGTTGGGGTCCTCCTATGCAGGGAAACTACCATTTGTCAGTCCCGGGATAATGCGCAGCTCCAGGTCTTCGAGAGAGGCTCAGCAATGAGGATAGGATGAGAGGGGCTCTGATGATTGGGATGTGCATGGTAACCGTGACACTGCCAACCTTCTTAGGTCTCCAAGGAGGCGGCGTCATAGAGCCTCAAGAAGTTCTAGCAAGAAGACGAAGGCGTTCTTGCAAACTCCATTGGCTCAGAGTGCCTCCAAGCTGAAGAAGCCAGCTGCAGGTAAGGCTTCTACCAACCTTGCAAATCATCTCAACAAAGCCCGTCTCCTATCCGATTTGCAAGCCGCAGGGCTTTCATAAAGTAGACGACAGCGAAGTACACACTTGTGAGACGCTCAGGAACCCATATCCCAGAAAGCTACAGAGCTGTGTCCCTGGTAAACCAAAGACCGCCAAGAAAAAGAACTGAATCTGTCAGCCCTGTATCCTAGCGTATAGCCTCAGCGGTTTCTGAAACCCCTCGAACGCTAGGCTGAGGCCCCAGGCTCATGCCAGCTGCCAAGCTGCCCAGCAGCTTGCCGAAAGCCTCAGATATGCTGCACAGACAATGGCAAAAAAACTTCGGGGCCATGGGGAATTACAATCTCCCTAAACCCTAAACCCCAAACCCAATCAACTGTAAAGGCTTCATCACACCAGCCTTCCTCTCCACTGTCCCTTCACTATTGCCTCACCATATTGGATTTGTTTTAAGGCATAGAATTGCTTGGCTGGCACCAAAGCCCCAGCGCGTGGTCTGAGGAGTCCTGGCTAAAGGCCTGAGGGACAACAAGGTTTAGGGTTTAGGGTGTCATACCGTGGGCGCCTACAACATGACCAAAAAAAGTGAACCAAATGGAAAACAAAGTGAAAAGTGAGTTCAAATCCTGTGCCTATAGAGGACTCTTCCCAAGGCCTGAATAAACACCGAACATATTTTGACATCTCTTTGGGGTGCCCTATACCATAACTGTACTAGGAATCTGGGCTGCAATACTCGTCGATTACTGGCGCGCAGGGAGTGAGTACAAAGTCCAATGATGTACTGCAGGGGCCTAAATAATGACCAATACCATTTTGAGGACCATTTCAGGTACCATCAACCATAATTATATGAGGAATATGGAGCCATAATATTGGTACTTATTTAGGCGCCTGTATTCGGGGTTCGGTGTTTGAGTCTGAGGCTCCAGGGCATTTACGGCTCAGGGATTTAGGGCTTAGAGCTTGGGGGAGTTGATGTGAACAGGGCAAAGACGGAATAAATATCAAACTGCATGCCCCACCCTCCGAGTGCTGACTGCCCTTGCATGAAACAACATGAAAGACATGCAATGCTGTTGATACTAAAACCTGCATAGTCTCAGTATACATACGAGGGCCATGCAAGATTTTAGCATCAACCGCATCGCGAGCAGAAGAGAGGTGTTCAACATTCGGCGAGGTTCAGCGCAAATGTCAACCTTGCCTGGTGGACCCTGTCTCCTCTATTGATATGGGGGTTTCTCCAAACCAGTGGTGAACCAAGCTCAACTAGTTGTGTAGATGCAATTGCAGCTCTAAGTTTGGGAAGTCGTATGGAAAAGAAAATGGAAACGACTATGTTATGATAGGGTATATATTGGGTGGGATAATGGAAAAGAACGTGGAAACTACTTTAGTATAATAGGGTATGTATTGGGGTTATATTCGCAAAATGGAAAAGAAAGTGGTAACTACTACAGTATGTTGGGGTTGAATCTTTTGAGCTACAAGTTGCTCGGCATACCAGAAGTTGGTGCCGAAGAGAGTGTCTCACAGGTCCGTAAGGGGGAGTGGGAAAATCGATCACTGTCATACTCCCCGTATAACGGGAAGCGCATCAGTTTCTCCGCGTTCTCGCCTATAGCCTCCAAAACCTGCACCTGAATTCTTCTTCGTAGCCCTACACATCCCCAAACCCTAAACCCTCCCGAAACCCTGCTTGGAAACTGCCAACACGAATGGACTGCAGCACATTGCGCAGAGTTCGCGGGTTGACCTTGGATGCCGAAACAACATCCGAGGGTTTTGGAAAATTCGGGGCACCTTCAAGGGGATATAGGGGTCATGTAAGGATTTTCAAAGGTTTAGAGTTTAGAGTTTAGGGTTCCCAAAATTTGGGGTGCTTCTTGGGGGATCCCTTTGATAAGGTTTATAGTATTTGGGGTCTACATTGGGGTCCCCCTATTTAGGGAAACCATCATCTGTGGTTGTCCCCATTACACGACTGTTGTGAGAGCGCGCCTTAGAAGGCTTGAACGTGTTATAACCCAAGCAATCAGAATACGGTTCTCAGGTAGATGATACTATTATGAAATACCATGACCATGAACCCCTGAATTTGGGAAACCCTGATCCCCATCAACCCCTATGTAATTCCGGCTTCCATTTCATCTTCCAGATTCTTCTCCAGCTGATTCCCCGCTACTGAACCCTGAACACAGTTGACTATGTACCCTATCCGAAATCCCATGCAGCCGTTCTGCAGTGTCAAGCAAAGTGAAGCTGATGATCCTAGGGAAGTAGGGCTATAGGTGCCTTCAAAGGGTGCATTGGGGTATATAAGGCTATTTTGGGTTTAGGGATTTAGGGTTTAGGGTATAAAAATTCTTCGGAGACCTGGAAGTCGAGTTGGGCTTAGCAAATTTAGTATTTTGCGGCCTGCGGTTCATTTGGTCTGTCGTTGAGTTACTATTACAAATTATAGCTTCATATACCTTACTCGAGTTAGTACAACCAGCTCACAGCCATTCCTACATTGTCTGCCAGTGCCAAGAGGCATGCTCAAAGACGTCCGGGTGAAGCACAATGGTGAAGTCGGCAAGCACATCGTACCTGCGCGCCATGTGCCTGGAGATGGAGTCGAATTGGACCGAAACCCTACCCTAAAGAGCAGTCTCCATCTCATTTTCCATCATCCCTATATAACCCCAAGAAAACCCCTACATGGCTTGACTCCAGGCCCAAAATTCGGGGTCCAGGGCTCAGATCTGCCTGACCACAAAGTACCAATCCAACCTTCAGGATCAAGCGGGGATTCCCCAAGCTAGGCTGAAACCAATTTCAGTTGCACCCATGGAGGCCTCAAGGGCAAAGGGCTTTAGGGTTGAGGGTTTAGGGATTTTGGGGTTTAGGGGTTCAGGCGGGGTTAAGGGTTTAGGGTTTACTAGTCCGAGAGACTCATGCAAGCTGTTGATCCCACGGACGCCTGAAGTGAGGATAGCCCTGAGGCAAGCTATACCTACACCAACTGTCCCCTGTTCTTCCGAAACGGGTACCAGAAACAAGTTGCTCAGAAGACTCAAGCCAAACATACTGAGCAAACTGTGAATCGCACCTGACTTGTCGTGCCAAGTCGCAAGAAGTACCTGGCAGATTCCCAAGCATTGGGACTAGCAGCAACAGGAATGACCTGACAGGACTCGAATGTGCCTTGAGTGCTTAATGGCAACAAGATACAGATAGTGATAGCGTATATTGCACACAGACTAGGATGGCTTCAGGATGAGGATTTAGGGCTCGAAGAACAGTTTAGAGTTCAGCGAAGATTCCGCGGTTTATATCAGCTTGGGGCTGTCGGATGATGAACGAAGATGCCTTTAGCCGTCGCAGCTCAAACAGGCTTACATATAGAGACGCTGCAATTCCAACGCCAATCGCGAGGACCACTCCACAATCCTCTACTCCCGCTTCCCAGCTTCCCAGACTAACCGCCCTAGAGACCACCCCTCCTCAGCGGATGAAGGCTTTCCGGTTTAGGGTTTGGGTTTAGGGTTTGGGGTTTAGGGATCAGGATTTAGGGTTTAGGATTGGGGGTTTGAGATTTAGTTAGTGTGCAGAGAGTAAAGTCCTGAGCTGGGGTGCAGAAGTAACACTGGAACTTTTAATCTGTATGCACTATATCCCCTAGGTGGATCCCCCACGCTGTAAGAAGAAGATGCGAAGACCCTAATATAAGCATGCGATCTCACACAACCCGAAATCTTGAAACTCCTAAACCCCAAACATAATGTTTACCAGCTGGCTCCTTCAACTGAGGAATTCGAAATGTTTCCGAATCTCTGGAGCATAAATCCAACCTGGAGATCCACTTGGTAACAAATAATAGTCACACCGACCTCGCCTCCAACTTCCTAGAAGCTCTAGGGTTTAGGGTTTAGGGTTCTGGTTGTATTAAGCCTATGACACCTTAAAAACATAATTCCAAAATATTCCAAATTTTGATCTAGAAGCCTCAGCTCCACAAGCTGAACCACATATAATGGAATCCGATACGTTTTGATGGCACCCCTGCCTGCTATGACATACCATTGACATCCTAAACCCGCCAAACAAAGCAACACCAAAAGCTTAACCCCCAGAATGACACGAACTGCTGAGGCAGGGGGGTGAGACAGCAGAGTCACCGGGCCTCGAGGGAAGAAAAAAGCTCAGCAACCTTCGCTGCCCGTGGTGGTAGCGAAGCCTTGGGAGCTTCCTTCTGTTGATATCCTGATACTGCTATACTATAGTATCATAATTCTCAAGGTATAAGGTACCTAGGGTCATGCAGGAGGTTGAGCAGCCACCATAGTTTTGGGATTGGGGTTTCGAGTTTAAGGTGAACTTTCTACCGAATGTAAGGCGGAGGGACTAGGGCCAAGGTTTCAGGGTTCAGGAATTGTAGGTTGGGGGTTTGAATGCCTGGTCCTACCAAAGTGGACCTTTCAAAAACCAAAACGTATCGTCGCCAAGAGGCCCCCCCACAATCCTGACCCAACCCCAGGACATAATCCAACGAGGGTACCTCTATGGAGTTCGCGTGCCACTTCCGAACGAACATTGCTCTTCAAGTCAAAACAAGCTTGCCCTGAAAAATCCCATGCTCTCTGCTGCGAGACCGAATCTAAGCCTTGAACTTCAAATCCGACATTGTAAACCCTGAACCCATTTCCTAAACCATATATCCTGAAACCCTACTGCGTAACCAAGATTCAGGGCCAGCTTCTCCTACGCAGCCCTCCAGGCGATACAGAAGCAGACGAGCATGCCTTCACAGGGTCTTTGGAATGAAGGTTGCAAAGGAATGTGATTTTGAAGGTAATCTAATGAATACAGCCCTTCTTGCGTGCCCTAAATATAAATTAGATTCATTTTTACGGCAGGAGCTGCTTAGCCGAAAGGATTTTGGATTTTGGGCTTAGGAATTACTCCCACAACAACATTACCCAAAATGATGGAATATCAGATGGAATTTCAATGGAATGCGGCTCGGGCATGCTCTCAACTGGGCGCATAACCTGAAAGATGCAGACATGCCGTAAGCCTGCGCCGCCTGAAAAGAACGGGTTTGTTTACAAACCTGGAGAATGAAAATGAATTGCCTACATGCAGAAAAGCAACACAAGAAAGAACTGAGACCTGAGATCTTGGCACAACAGCTGCCTGTGCATGGCCGCAATGCCTAGCTAGCAGCTACAGCAGGAGTATAGCCCGCTGGCGTATCGCTTCTTTGAGGACGATGTCGACAAGCGGTCGGTGAGCACAAAGCAGTGGGACCCGCTCCGTGTCCTGGCCTTTATGCGGAGGTGGCGCCATCCTGTAGAGTGGCTACCTCTGCCCGCACCAACAGCACCCTACAAAGGCAGCACCGTTGTAACGTTTTGGCATCGTCCCAACCCCAATCTCCCTGCTAAGAAGTCTTGCTATCGTCCAGTACACAAAAAGCCTGTGACAAAGGCAAAGCTGCTCACAAGTCACAACGGCCGTCACCCCTAGCACTGCCTGACCCCTCGGTAACAGGACAGTAACGACCCGCCACCCTTGGCACAGCAAACGCGTCCGCACGTTGACCGTACCCAGCTGCGACGTGGAGCCGTACCTAGAAAGCCATGTGTCTGGACCGAAGGCGCACGCTATGGCTTCTTCTGAAGCGACGTAATGTCACCAATCAAATTTTGCCTGTTGGAGCTTGCTGGTGCGGAGCTTGCCCCCACTGCACAGCGGTCACAAAGACCGTCACACTCAGCAAAGGGAGGCTGTCGTCCTGAGGGAGTGCCCCATACATTCTTGGGCAATGCCCCAAACTGAAGCAATGAATAGCAGCCACACACTGCCTGATGCCACCCAATAAATGTGGTTGGCAACGTCACAACATCCACCGAAGTATGTTGCCACAGAAGCAGTCGACATAGCTGAATGCAGCTGCGATGTTGTTTCCCTGCTGCCTGATGTGCGACAGGCCTTGTAGCCATAAAAAGCGTTGGCTGGAGACAAACATTGAGTCGGCGTAGACGCGCCGTCCGCTATTTTCGCAACTACAGGAGGCCTGGGAATTGGGACCCGGCAGCTGACGGCAGAGCGGTTCAGGCAGCTATGGCTCAGACAGAACACGAAACCTTTACGATTCGAGAAAGGGGCCTGTTCACAGCCTCTAGCAAAAAAGGAGCCTTGGCCTGAAATTCGACTGCCAGCAGTAGGATGCCGTAGGGAAAGTCAAATGGCAAGAAAATGAAAACGAAATGGAAAAGGTGATTTTATGACGCTAGAGTCGAGGGGACCCTGAACAAGCTTTTGCATCGTCCTGTCTTGATACAATTCATGAGACAAGGGTACAGAGTTTAGGCTCAGGGTTTGGGATCTAGAGCTCAGGCGTTGAGAGCTGCAGTCAGGAATATATTAAGAACCTGAGCCTTGAATCCTTCGTAAGGAGATAAGCATCAAAGCTTCTGGGGTCTAGGTCTGCAGGGTACAGTACTTAAAGATGAAAATGACAAACACGCATCTTGCCGGAGATGACCTAGACAAACCTACTGTGCCTAGTGCCATCAAAAGGACGCATTGCGGCTCTTTCCTATCTGACGTACTTCACATATCCACAAGTGGCCAGCAAAAGCTTTTCCTTAGCATTCTATCCCTAAGAAACTGTCAAAGATTTCAACCCCACACCCCAGAAACAAAACCCCAAAGGTCCTGAGCCCAATGAAGCACAACAAAGGGACTAAGGGTTGAAAGAATGAGCCTGCACTATAGGCCGCTGACCTCAAAGTCTTGACCTTGCCTACCACAAAAAACCAACACTAAACCCATGAATGCCGCAGCACAACTCCAAACCCTAAACCCTAAACTGAACTCCAGAACTCGAAACACCCAAATCCAAACCTGCCAAGTATCAACTACCAAACTCTGCTATTCATCTCAATTTTTTGAACTGCGCGCAGTAGACCCTCATACATCCCCAAATCCTCAAATCCGTGTCCTCTGACCTACACCTAAAATACATATCCCCGACATACTCTCTTCCCTAGTTAGAGCCCCCAAACTCTTGGAAACCTTCGACCCAACTCACGGAATCCTTAATGGCACTGGAGAGACGAGCCAATCCTCCTGTCAGCATGTGTCCAAACAGACAGTTGGCAAGAGGAGATTGTGGAGGGTCCATATTAAGAATTCCTAGGGCTATGGTCCCCCTTAAGTAGACAGAACATGGGGTATATGGGGATCTTATTATAATATACCCAAAACCATATTCTATCTACTTAAGGAGGACTATACCTTGGAGACAACTCTCAATGACGGCATAGCAGTCATAGCTCAGAATTCAGGATTGATGGCTTAGACAGGTTTCGGTTGAAGGGGCTTGAGGCTTTGGAATGTTTCGGATGTCTTCACAGGCTTTAAGATTCGGGGCCCAAGACGGCCATGGGGACAGGCATTGTGGATGTATGGTACAACGTTGAATGTTCAGGAGGCGGGGCCAGGGTTTATGGCTTAGGGAGGACTTGATAATATAGACCCCTGATGAATAATCCCCCTCCCCTTAGTATGAATAACAAGGACCCTTAGTATGAATAACAACAAGGATCCTGACATGAAGGCCCTTAAAAGGAGTGGAAGCAGGGGTCTACATTAAACAAGGAATGAGCCTCCAGCATCGTCATCCTGGAGCCTCCTCTCCGCATTGGACTTTCTCAACAAAGGTCTAAGGTGGATCCGTGCGGAACATCCGCTTGTAGTGAAAAGGGTGGCTGCCAGCTAAAAAGAAGGAGTACCAACTTAAAATGTATACTCCAACTTTTCCTAGATCTGGACCTTTGCCACATGTTGTCGAAACACACTACTTCCTTGCCCCTCAACGTGAACGAATGTCCAGCACACACCTCCCGACGGCCTGCCGCATGCTTCTCCCGGTCGTGCGTTCAGTACAGCTTCATCTGTTTCGTACCCTCCGCTTCGTACACTCTCGTGTCTTCTGTTCCCTTTGTCTTTTCCAATCGGCTTCGGCTGTTTTGTTCAGTCCTCTTTTTTCCGCTTCGCTGTGTCCTATTTGTTCGGTACGACCCATCCGTTTCCTCCACCTTCCCTCTTTTGCCTTCCACTCCTTCCAACCTGTTCCGCCCATTCATTCCGCCTGCTCTGTTCCATTCCGGCCGATTCGCAGGTGCTATCCAACGCATGCTCTTCTGGAGATAGCGAGCAAAACCCAACCTTGATGGGAACTAGGCAAACACAAACCAATTTTGAATGAAAAATCGAGCAGATGCACCAAAAACTCTCTCATGACTCTCTTTGTACCCTACATGCTGGGTTCTCCACCCTCATAGCAAGTGTGGATGACTGGAGTGTGCCATCTGCCTTAAGCCCTGAGAGGTAGCAAAACCTCTTTGACCTGGCATCGAAAATCCTGCTTCAGGCTCTCATGCCACCGAGAACTGAACAACTATGTTAAACTATTCATACGAAAAGAGCGGTAGCACCAACGATGAAAGCCGACGCTGGAAATCATGATGATCAGCACGGTGCCACTTATGAACCGTCTATGAACTATGATGGTTCACAGAAATTCTCAAGGAGCAGGACTCTTAAAGAAAATTAGAGCTACATGAGTTATGATGGTACTATAACTGTCTCGCGTAAGAATTCTAAAGAGATTACATTGAGGAACATCCATGTCAGAGTTGAGCGTTTAGGCTTCAGAGATTCGAGTGCAGGGTTCGGCTCGTAGCTTGCGGTCTTGTGAGTCGACATACCTAATGTCCCTGGCACCTCATACCGCAAGCCGGCAAACCTGACCCCCAACACTCTGAAACCCTGGCTCACCTCGTAGCCCGTCTTTTTCGATAAGAGGTCGTCCAAAGGCTCATTGCAATACCTCCGTCCAAGCTGAAGGGTTGAAGGTTTCAAGGCTGCACCTTGGAGTTTACCTAAAACCCAACCCCTCAATTGCCATCATGGTCACTTGTGGGACACAGAAACAAGGCGCATGAAACAGATTTGCTTGCAAGTTCCAAGACCTGGGAACCTGATGAAAGCAAATACACGGGTTCGAAGTTTTCAAAGCAGTCCCTTTTTCGCGCGGACTCAAACAATTGAAAGTCTACAGCAGGGGTCCTCCTGTCTTATGAACCTGCTTTATTCCCAGGTAGGAGAAGCTCGCTTCTATTCCTGGCTCCTCTGGCCTACTCCGTCATGGCCCCAAAAGCCGGAATCGTTGCGAGCAAAATTCTATCAGTTTGCACAACTTTGAATGTCCTTGAGCCTAGCAAGAGGGGTTCAAATCTACCTGAAGAAGTTCAGATAAGCTTCAAAACTTCAAGGCGCCTCACTGGAACCCTCAGCAAGCTGGACAGTACGAAAAGAAGAGCCGCAGGGCACCCAGCGTCCAGTGCAAAATGAATTTTTCTGCAATTCAATCATCAATCGACATGTCACAAAACTTCGTAGAGTTCAGAAAGCCAAGGTCAAAGAACCTCTGATTCTGCACAGATTACATCATATGCCCTCAACCTAAACCCATAATCTGGCCTTCTCCATGTGCAAGGGCCCCAATATGAGATCCTATCCCGCAAGGACACACCTGGAAATTCTGCGATGGCTGATGTACTTTGCTGTCTGCCCTCCCATAAACTCTTTGCAAATCCTCATGATGTTCCTCTAGACTTTCAAGCAGCAAGCCCGACTTGCTTGCCAGCTGCGGCATGACGACGTCCACAGAGTACTCCTCCATCTATTTAACTCCGTCTGTATTTGGTTTATGTATTCATAAAAATCTGATGCATCGAATCTGCCTATCTAAATTTATTGTCTTGGGTCATTGGCGTCTCAGATTTGAGGGTAGCTTCAGCTACGCCAAATGCATCGCTTAGTCACGAAAATCTACCCTCAAGGCTACTGCATCCTCCTGATGTGTCTGTGTGGTTGGTCTTCGATGATTTTGGTACAACCGCTTTCCCTCCTTGAATCCCCCTCCTACTGCTGTTACGAGGTATTTCGAACTCACGTAAATCCAAAGGCCAGCAGACGTTCACAAAACAAGTTTGAAGGACCGCCAATGCTTGGTCAATATATACCCTACTATAACATGGTAGCTTCCTTTTTCTTACTCTACACCCTAACAAAACTTCCATTATCCCGCATACAACCCCTATATTACCCCAATCTATCCCCAGAAATTCGTCAGAAACGGTGGAACCCCAATCAGTTGGAAACCAACAAGTTCTCAGCAGCCTCAATAAACCCTGGGCGCGGCACACAGCCGCAGCTTTAGGCTTCAGGACGTGGTGGTTTACTAAAATTAGGGGTACCAGGCTTGGTGATCCCCATAATAATCACTAGAGTACATTGGGGTCTATATTGCGGGACCTCTATCTTGGGAAACTACCATGTGGGTGGGTCGGTTAAAGGCGTTCCGAGTTGCTAGTTGCATTTAAAAATGCACTCTTCATCCTGTTTGCCCTTGTGCAACATGCGCAGTCCCCCTGCAAACGCTTAGGCCACGAGGCTTTCAGCCAAATGACTGTAGCTCCACAAAAGTGGAGGGTAAGGGAAGAGGGAGGCGGAGGCAGGGAGTAACGGTAGAAGAACCAGCAGCATCGGAACCAGTGCCAAAGCAGTTTATCCACAGTATTGGTCGAAAGAAATGTTCATATCATAGAACTAATGACCCATTTACAATTCCTGGGGCATGGGCAGCCAACAACATGAACTACACTGCTGAACCTGTGAATCCCCTTGTAAACCTTAAGGCCTTAAGGAAAAAAGCAAGACAGCTCACAAAGGCCTACACAACCAAGCGCCATCTGCCGCAGCCCCCAAAAGTAAACAAAGTGGTAAATTCTGAAACGAGTAATGTTGAGGCATCGCCTCTACACACAGTGCCCTTGATAACGAAACTACCAGGGCTTCCAGTGGCTCTACTTGCCAAAACCCTTAAACCCCCCATGCCCCCTAGGGATGAATATTCCCCGTATATGTTAAGATGTCACAATGGCAATATCAACTTCGATTATTTTCAGCGGGTCGTACTGAAAAGGGAATATTAAGAAAGCATCGCAACTCCTAAATGGTGGTCCTGAAGCTACTAGGGCACTGTTCAAGTGACCAAGGAGCGTACAAAAAAAAAAACTACAGTCCATGAGAAGGACCCTTTGCGTGTCCTTATCATCCCCAAATGTACTTAGAGTCTTTTAGGGCCAACTAGTTTGAGATATTCCAAGTTTCTTCCTCTGGGATCATCATGGCGGTTGCAAGTTTTCGCCTCCAAAAGCTTCTCGACATCAAGGTTCCGGGGAATCCTGGGGGTATATGGTAGTTTCCCAAAATACAGCGACCCCAATATAGACCCAATATACTATAGTCCTTATTACTGCGAACCCCCCCATATGCCATTTGAATATTCTGAAGAAGGGCCGGGGGATGCCCCATGAGCATTCTACTTCCAACATATTGTAACATACCACAATACAATGGGGAGTTTTTAATATTAGTGGAGGGGGGGTGAGGGGTTTAATACTAGGGCGACAGGATTATAGGGGAACATTCGAATCACAACTCTCTTTAGCTTTGGATTGAAAGCCCAGCGTTCTGGATACTTTACTTTGCGTCCTGAGTTCCAAGCTTCAAGTTCGGGCGTGTGTGCTTGTGCGCCGTCCGGCGTGTACTTTCCTCCTAAAGCCCTTTACCCCAATATCTGGCCTAGCCGGGTCCGCAACCACGGATTGTATCATACAGAATTGTGTACAAGGCTTATGTTATAATATCTTCACAAGTATACAGGGCTTGCCGTTGAGGCTCAATTCTGAGACTCATATGCACTTTCTTGTCGTGGTAGAAGCAGCTGGCATGAGGGTGGTTTTGGCAAGGAAAAGAATGCATTGCATGAAAGTTCCACAGGGAATGCTCACTAAGCAAGCATGGCCTGCTAAAGCCCAGTATATCTGAGTGGTTAGCCAACCAACCCCATCAGCGAGCATCAGTCCAAAACCCAGATGTCCTTCTGCTGCACTCCTACTAGCGAAACGCATAGAATTCAGGAACCTCCGTGCAAAATGCTGCACAAGCATGGTCCATGAGATCAAATGTTCCCTGTCTTTCTTTTAGCTTAAATTGCAGCCCTGCCCCTCTACCCGAAAACTTGAAGATTACCTCCATAGCCCTTACCACGGCACCATCCTTAACTTGGCTCTGCCCTCCGAATTTTTCTTCCCTGCCCAGAGGGGTTGTGGAGTACCTGCTTCCTGCTGTCTGCACCACGTGAAAATTCCTAACGACACCACCGTACCTGGAATCATGATATCCCGGAACCCGCTGAAGTCCGAATCTGAAACCAACCAATTCAAATTGTTTCCTCTGCCCTCGTTTCCATGCAACATATCTAAATAGGAAACATAGCAACCCACAACTACCAGCGCAGATTCACACCCCGAACTCAAACCGCAAACCCCCCGCGCCCAGGACCCCCTTCTAAAACTATCCCGCAAAACCAGGATATCCATGACTTAGACTTAGAGGTCCCTTTGTGGGGTGCCTACATTCTTTGGGGGGCACCCAATAAGCCATTTTGGGCAACGAATCCATGGAAACCCACACCGTCAAGAAGCTCATCTGAGCCATAATCTAGACTCCTAGTATCCCCCCTAAGAAGGCGTATAGTAGTCCCCCATATAATCCCTAGACAACCCCCTTAAAAGGAGTTTAGACTATGGCTAATCTCGTGCAAGGCACATACGCAACAGGCCAAGATCGATGGGCCATCGCGCGCGAGCTGCCACGGGAACCTGACATGCTGTCGTTTGGGGCCAGTTTTGAGGGAGCTACCATGATCAGGATTGTAGTATATGGGTGTTTTAGTAGGGCCCTCATTTCTGAACACTAGGGTGCAGGATTGAAGGTTGACAGCTCACTGTAGCTTTCAGGCTCAGGGTTCAGGGTTAAGGCTCACAATTTCAGATGTTGGGCTTACTGTAGGAATCAGCGTTTACGGCGGAGTTGAAGGTTTAAGGTTTATGGCTAAGGTGTAACGTTTAGAGCTGGGTAGGTTTTACGGCTTACTGCGGAAGCTAAGGTTTTAAGTGCAAGGTCGAAGGTTTGAAGTCTACAGGTTCAGGGTTGATTGTAAGTGTTACAGTTGAGGGTCTACTGTCAGGTTCAGGATACGAAGTTAAAGGTGTCTTGTAAGCAGGCTTAAGGTTGGCCAGCATTAGAGTTTAGGGTTCACTGTAGGGTCCAAGGTGGAGAGTTCAGGGCTAATGGAGGTGTCCCCTTTTCATGCTTGGATGCACTAAGGGTCTATTGCACAGATGAGACGTGACCTGCACACTATGCGCTACAATCCCTAGTTCCTACTCCCTGGATGCCCAAACCTACGCCCTAAAGTAGTTTACAAAACTTATAGCCAGAAATATCACGATGTGTATGGAAACCTACGTAAGAGAGCAGTGGGCAGTGGTTCAGGATTATGTCGGATTGGAATGGCATCTTGCAGGGGTTCGAACATTAAGATTTGCTCGAAACGAGGCAAAAGAAAAAATGCTATGAATTCAGAGTTTAGGGGAGTACGGTCAGGGCTATAGTACCCTAATTTATCTCGTCTTGTCAACTGACAATTTTGGCACGTTTTCGTTTCTTCGCGTTGTAGAAATGCTATCTGTACATATGGTCATGCGCCTGAATCACACGCAAATAGCTGTTGCTTGGCATTTGTCTTCCACATGTTTCTTTGTTGTTTGCAGTTTCTCCATGTGATTTCAAGTTGTATATGTTTCCTCAGTGTGAACCGAAGCGCGCAAAGGGTTTCCACAGAATAAAGTCATGAAGCCCTTGGAGGGAGCCTGCAGCCCTCAGATTGTAGACTTTAGGAGCTACAGGTTTGGACCTTTTAGTTGATTTAGTGCAAAAATCCCGTCAGGTGTTAAATTTTTGAATTTGACCGTTCATGGGTGCCTCCTTCACCAGCAGGTGCTTAACTTTGAGTTACTCAGGTGCTCGGGATTCACAGAATGCCCAAAAAAAACATTCATGACATGCTTTGAGGCGCTGAAGCTTACACCCAATGCCTCGAATCCTGCGCCCCAAATCCTAAACCTTCAAGGAGTCCACGGGGTTGCGTGATGAAGGAAAGTCTTACTCACCATCCCAAACAACAATCGAGATACACCCAAGAAGGCTGTGCTGTAGCGCTTGCTGTTTGCTAGGGGTGCACGGGGTGCAGAGCTGAGAGCTTAGCTTCTGGTTGGCCGAGGTTTTTCGGGTTTATACAGTGGTGGTTAAGATTTCGCACTCAAGCTTTACCAAAACCAGAACCACCTTGGTTTGTGGCAACATGGCCTTGGACTGGCGGATTGAAGGAAGACCGTTCAGACTTGGGAGAACTCTAAACCTGATGTCAGCCACGTGCGTTGGAAACAAGATTCAAGGCTTACGTGCCTCTACTACAAACACTCAGCCCTAGGCACTAAACCTAAAACCCGAATGCCTAAACCCTACACAATAAACCCTGGATTGTTATTGATGCACTAAACCCTGAATTGCAGTTTCCAAACAGCAGGGCCAAGCTTAAGGACGTTCTACATAGGAATAATGGAAATATGGTCCAGCCATGCGAAAATTGAAAACCGAGAAAGGTGTGACAATCGCGAGCACGCGAACAAAAGATGCAAAAACCTTGGAAAAGAAGAAGAAAAAGGAAACAATGAAACACGACACAACAGTCAAAGCAGGTTT